TAAAACCCACACATTTTACTGTAAAAGGACAGATATGATAAACTCTTTGAGGTCAGAGTTCTTTTTATTTTTAAGAGAAAGGGAAAGGGAGAGAGAGAGAGAAACATCAATGATGAGAGAGAATCATTGATTGGCTGTCTTCCACATGCCCCTTACTGGGGATTGAGCCCCCACCTGGGCATATGCCCAGCAGGGAATCGAACCTCTTTGTTCATTCGTTGTTCATATGTCAACACTCAACCAATGAGCCACAGTGGCTGGGCCTTAGTTTCTTTACATTCGTACAATTCTTAACAGACTTGTAGTTAATGCTTATTGAGTTAGATATTTAGAAGTGAAATAATATGGTTAGGTCTGTTCTAAGATGTTTCTAGTTGAGAAAAACTAGAGAAGTGTAGTTTTCAGATTTTTATGTTATAGATAACTGCAATAGCTCTATTGTAGAAAGTAGCATTATTTTTAAGACAGCGTAATTATATGGAGTTCAAGATAAATAATTTTGAACTTACAGAAGAATGTGTCAGAAAGGAAATCTTCACTTTTTCCTTGGAACTAGAAAATAATACTGTTCAATGTCTATAAACATGTAATTGGATCTTCTTATGTAACGAATTTAGGTGTTAAAACTTTTGGGGAGTTAACCTGAAGTTTTTCTTAATGTGAACATTATACAGACGTCCATTTTCCTTGACAGTGGATGCACCAGGAGTGGCTTCTGCAACAGATAATTGTCAAAGATAGCTCTGCATCAGGCAATTTTGTACCTGCTGTAAGCACTAGAGATACAGTGGTGCCTAAGAGACAAGATCTTTGCTCTTACGTTTACATTTTAGTAAGGGAAAGACAGACAAGTAAGTAAGGGGAGGGTGGATAGGAGTTGCTGTATGTTTGACAGGACTTGCAGTATGTTTCTGAAGTTTCATCCAGCCTTTAAGAATGCGTGCCCTGCATCATCAGATTATATCCTAAACCAGTCTAGTGTTTTCAAGTCCTTGATTACATTGATCTTATTGGAGCAGTTTGGTCTCCTTTCTGGTGCTCCCATACTTTTCTCCTTAAGCCTCATAAATAGAGCTGTTTAATTAGCGAGATAGTAGCCAAGCTTGTGAAGCTTATTAGGATGTTCTTCAGTTTTATATTTCAGCTTTCCACCAACCTTCAGAGTTCTAAATAGTGGAAAAACTTAGTGATTATAGACTTTCTGTGGTGGCTTCTGTAATCCATTTCTCTGAGGAGTAAAAAGGAAGACTGGGTCTATTAGTATAAGGAAAAAGAACAGATTCTAGTTTTACTTTTTTTTTTTTTTTTTTTTAGAGCTCCAAGCCTTGCATGAAATGGTCCAGCAGAAAGTTGTCACTTTGCTAAGTGACCCTGAAAATATTGTGAAACAAACCTTAATGGAAAATGGAATAACTCGGCTGTGTGTATTTTTTGGACGTCAAAAAGCCAATGATGTTTTATTGTCCCACATGATTACTTTCCTGAATGATAAGAATGATTGGCATCTGCGTGGAGCTTTTTTTGACAGTATAGTTGGTATGTTGTTTTTTAAATTTCTCTTTAAGGTTTTGAATTCTCAAAAAAATACATGCAATTTGAGAGGGGACATTACTATTAAATTTTATTAATAATGAATTGAGTTCCTGGTATTTCTGTCTGTCTGCCTGCTGCTTTTGGATGATAAGAATATCTTAGTTGGTCAAGGGATTGGTTAAACTGTGATACATCCATATCAAGGAATACTATGTGGTCATTACAAACTGTTTTAAAATGATATTTAATGCCTGGGAAAAGTATCATGAAATACTATTAGAGTGACTGAATTATAGTGTAGATCTATTTAAAGTATGATTCCAGTTGTATAAAGATAACAACAGTAAATCATATGTATTTATACAAAAGACAAATATATATACTAAGGTGTGAACAGTGGTAATATGTAGGACTGGGATTGTAGATGATTGTTTCTTTATATTTTCCATATTTGTCAAATTTTTTTATAGTGAACATAACTTTTACAATCAGAAAATAATTGTTAAAGTGTAATTATGATTGGAAATCAATCTAATTAGAAGGAAAATTTAGGTTTGGTCAGTTATGAAATGTTATATGCTAAAGCCATGTTTTATAATTACCCACTAACCCTCTTTATATCATTTTGGACACGATTATAACAGCTTGTTGTTTAACTCAAAAGGTTTAAAGACTCTTTTACACTTTGGAAAGCTTTGCTGATATTCAAATTTTCTCATGTAGTAGCGGAAAGCTGTAGGATTTAGATTTTGTTACCTTAAAATCTGGGAAAGTAACTGCTAAAATATTTGCTTTTGGGTGTATTTTCCTAAATAATAAAAAAAGCAAAGAAACTCATATGGCAATAGTATTAATGTTTCTGCAAATGCTGCCGTATAATGTTTTGGAGAAAAGGTTATTTCCTACCTCTGAGAACCTGTGAAATTGCTTGCGTTGTTGTATTCTAGACTCTGTTTTATTGCTGAAGATAATCTAAAGCCAATAAAGCCAATCATTCTTTGTTTTTAGGGGACCTATATTTTTATTTTTATAAGTTCCTGGGACCTCTCCCCCCACCCCTCCACCCCCTTGGTGTTCCATAATTTCTTAGTCATTTATTTTTTTGTGGGTCTTTTCATTTATTGTGCTGGGTAGGAAGTGCAATGTCATCTCCCTGATTGTTGCTCAATATAGTTGGTTTTCGATTAATTTTATTGTTTTACTTAATGGCATTTATACTTCCAGGTATAGAACACGTAATCATGTAATGTTGCTTCTCTTTTTCAGGTGTTGCTGCCTATGTTGGCTGGCAGAGCTCCTCAATTCTCAAACCCCTGCTGCAACAAGGTCTTAGTGATGCTGAGGAATTTGTTATTGTGAAAGCTCTTAATGCCCTTACCTGTATGTGCCAGTTAGGGCTGCTACAAAAACCCCATGTCTACGAATTTGCCAGTGATATTGGTAAGTTTCTGTTTCTCAAGATTAGGTTGGGAAAATTAGGAATTGGGAAGAGAAATAAAAATTGATAGAGTATTCTAAAACTTTTAGGCAATATAGAGTCAGATTTTCAACTTTATTGTTTCCATATTGTGTATGTATGTGCCTGAATGCACACACATGTACATGCTTAAACATGGATACTTGTGTGCATGTGAGAGACAGGCAGGCAGGCAAACAGGATCATTTGGTTCTCCAGCCTGGGTTGGGAAGTAATCTGTTTTCATTTGTAATTAAGTTTTTGTGATACTTGAAAAATAAAGATTTGGCTTTTTTTATTAATCCTCACTGAAGATATTTTCCCATTGATTTTTAGAGAGAGTGGAGGGGAGGAAAGAAGAGAGACAAGAGACAGACATTGATGTGAGAGATACGCATCGATTGGTTGCCTCCTACACATTCCCCTACCAGGGTTGGAGATTAAACCTGTAACCCAGCTCCTTGCCCTTGACCAGAACTGAACCCGTGACCCTTCGGTGTGCATGCCAACACTCTGAGAAACACTGGACAGGGCTTGTTTTTTAACACAAAATGGATAGTCTATAACTGCTCTGAAGAGTCAACTTGTTTTTTGGGGTTTTTTTTGGACACTGGACTACTAGTCATTTTCTAATTGGATGTGGATGATTGTCTATGACGTGTGTCATTGTACTCATTACCAGTTAAGAATTCTTAGTATTGGGGAGAACCGGAGATGGCGGCATAGGTTAACGCCGGAGATTGCTGCCTTAAACAACCAATTCAAATTAAGCCTGAAAAAGGGAACGGACAACATCCAGAACCACAGGAGGGCTGGCTGAGTGGAAATTCTACAAGTAGGAGTAAAGAGAATATCATATCCAGACTCAGAGGAGGCGCAGTGCTGAAGTGAAATTCTCAGG